GGGATGTTGGTCGCGAAAGCCTACGTGTTAAACTTAACGAGGCTTACAGTAGCCATTGGTGTCCCACACACGTTTGTCAGCGTGTGTGCTACTTACAGGAGTGGGGGGGGGGCCTCCGTGGGTTAACATGGTGGAGAGGACCGAGATGTATACGCTTGGGTTGCGTGTTTTTATGTTCAGGGTTTATGCCGAGGAGGGGAGGCTTGAGGGAAGGAAGTCAACTGACCAATTCACAATCAGCCTATGGACAGGGCATACATGCAGTGAGAGCTAAGAAGGCGGACATGATTGCTGCACGTATACTGACAGAATTAACTGGGGGTGTGGGGGGATGTGTATTTGGGGAATAACGGGGGGAGTGGGGTGATGGCAATTTGTCATGTATTATTTATTTACACGCGAAAACCCTGAGGAGCATACTGTACTCGGATGTTTAACCACTTCCATTAATGAGTGTTTGGCATGTGGGAGGAAGCCAGAGTACCCAGAGAAACCCACGTACACAAGGGGATTACGCTCAAAGCTCTGCGGGGATTCATTCAATAATCCATTGCTGCATTGCCATCTTCTGCTCACCTTGGAAATTAATAGGAGTCTGACGTTCAAGTCCACAAACAACGCAAAATGCTCGAAGTAATGAAATCCAAACTCAATCGAGCAAAAGGGGTGGCATCTGTTGGCAGCCTGGAGCCAGTGGTGGACTTAGACTTTGTCAGCTGGCAAGGCTCATTGAGCTCCAACAGCTCGTTGACAAGGATGACTAGAGTTAGGGTTGGGTTTTGGTTAGTATGAAACTTAACTCCTCCATGAATGGGTATCAGTCTCTCCGCACTACGACCACTGTTGCTAAAATGAACACTGCAAGGGATGAAAATGTCAGAGCTGTCTACAACACGGTATGGATATATAAAGTATCAAGGCACTGTACACGGACAGAGGTGCCTGGGGATTTACGATATTGCGAATTTGGATGGGGGGTGAATAATGAGTTCTGTCTCGAGCCCTTGGACACAATGGCATCAAAGAGGATGCCTTCCAGTGGGCAGTCTGTCCTGTTTAGCAGTGGGTGAATATAGAATAACTTGTGGAAATGTTTGTACAGGTACATTATTGATCACGATGTTTGCTTTTACTTTAATTGTTGTCAAGGATAAGAAACATTCAGCTGTTTTGCAAGAATACCCTGGGGAGGAGCTTTGTGGGGAGAAAATAAATGACAGTAAAAATCATGAACCTGCAGACAGAGGAGCAAACACATTGAAGGAAAACAACATATACGTTACCATGAATAACCAAAAAACATTACGTGTAAAATATGCAGCAGAGTGCTCCTTCATATGAGCTGTATTATAAGTGCCGAGCCGGTGTAAAGTAATTTTAACGCCAATATAATTACCATATGGAATATGTACAGAGGCATATCACAGATAACGCGAGTTTCAACTTTTCTGGGCATTTCTAAAATTAAACATAACCTAATACAAACTTTAATTATATGAATAATTTACAATTTTATTGTCATGTTTAAAGAGTCCCTAGCAGCGATCTACGCTTGTATGGATATTTTTCACATGCCTGAGCATTTGCCCTTATGACTTTGAGATCAATGATACCTGTTCCCATGGATGAGTCTAATGCTACACTCATAATGACGGAAATGAACACAACTCGCACAGCCATTGCAAGGCTTCGAGACATTCTCTACTAGAGGATTGTAGTTGCGTGATGTGGTGAAGTGGCTTCACGTGCCTGCCAGCACACACCAATTATATAATAGGTGGCCCACCGAATGTATCGTTGGAAAACGCTGGTGTAGACTCTGTAACGGCTCTAGAATTGAGCATAAGGACAACGGTGACCCCTTAACTTCGGTCAACGAACAACATTTTAACACGTAGGCTTTCACGACCAATATTATTCATAATAAAGGTTTTTGGGTTAGATCGCGTCATTTATAAATGTGTCGCAACCCTCCACCACCCGACACGGCCAATCAGCAAAAAAAGTGTCACGTTGACAAAAGACAAATATAATAATAATAGGGTTTTTCCCCTTTTTTTTCTGGCAACAAAACTGAAACCTTTTTACAAAGGGGAAAAACCCTATTATTACATTTTGGTCCTGGCAAAGGAGGTCTAATGATGAAAAATACAAATAGTTCACTACTTTAGCCCACCGGTGTGTTCAAGAGTGAATAAAAAATTATGAACGAACAACATCTCTGCGGGAGGCAGCCCCTGAACGCTATCTCTTGATTGCATGTGCTGCCCAACACCAACACCAAACAGCAACTCCCAGCATTTACATGTCCCAGGGTGATAATGGTATTTGTATAAGTCTCAGCCTCTTCAGAGGGCATGTATATGAATGCTCTGTTACCATGACTACAACTTCAGCAAACATTTTTAATTCAAAAGTTAACTTAAAAACAATATTGTTTTTATTTTGTAAATAAAATTAAGATATGTGGTTGTTTGTACTCAACTTCAATAAACTGGTAGTGAACAACATGACGGAGAGCACAGTACAGCGTGCGTTTATGGTAAAAAAACGTGTCAACAGCAGATGCTGGAGGCTACCATCTTTAGGGGCGGCCCGTCCATATAGGTTAACGAGGCGGTCACCTTCGGCACCAAGTTAAGTGAGGCGCCAAATTCGAGGAAAAAAAATATAAGTAAAAAATACGAAGATGTCATTATTTCAATTCCCGTGTGCATACAGAGGATATATGAATTATAATTAATTTCTCACCATATCTGAGAATGTATTTGTTGGGCAGACGCACGGACAAACCGACTAATCATGCCTCTGTTTAAAAAAATACGCTTAAAAAACATTAAATGGAAAATCGGGGGCAAGATTTTCACAGTTTACCAAAAACCTTCGCCTAGATCAGCCGTTTTGGTTTGTGGGCCCTGGTTGCATCGTTTCTCTCGGGCACCAGTTGCTGGCAGCTAGTCTAGGGCTACCTCTGCCCATATTGATTATGTGCTTGCATAACATTAAAACTCACAAACCTCTCATTATTTGTAAACTATAATTCCGAGTTGTACGTGTATTATTTTCGGAAATACGTGTAATAAAAACTAGAACGTCTTTTCTTTGATAACCCCGTTCAAGTCACAACGCATGACGCATGTTGTGTACTCTCCAATCTGAAGATTTCAAGAACTTCCTGGTCCTGACGGCAAGCGAAGTACCACGCTTAAAATGTGTACCCCTAGCCCTCGTGTTGTATTATCCACTTAGCTTGGGTACTTGTGAATTCTTCCTGCCCTGACTTTGTTACTATGTAAAGTGATGTATTCTTTCATCTACTCATTAATGGATTAACAATGAGTAACAGCTTCAAGTATGTGGGACAAAAACATACAGGTCTCTTTACTCATGTGCAAATGCAATCCCTTTCACAGACACCCTCGTGACTAACCACAAGACTGACCCAAAGTGTCCGCCCAACAGTGCGACCTCCATACCCCTCTGTGCTCTCCTTTGTGAGCCAGAAAAAGCACACAGTGCGGTTCAAGAAACTGTGTTTGGCTTGATGGATGTTTCCCCACTTCACTGTGTTTATTGCATAACCTATTTTCTTTACCCAAAGAGCACCTGAGCCAAACACGTGGTGTAAACTGACATATGACCAATAAACCTTTACCATTACTGTTGTGTCAAAAATATTACTTCAAAAACACACGGGAGGGGGGGGGGGGGTTATAGAGAAAAGTACGATGCATTTAATCCTCTAGAACAGCGGTCCCCAATATTTTTGGCACCAGGGACCGGTTTCGTGGAAGACAATTTTTTCATGGACCGGGGGGGGGGTCCATCATTGGGTCTTTCCCCCTTTTCAGCTCTCCAGCGACGTTTGTTTTTTACTCATTGTGTCTACTAGGGGGTTAGAGCTTGTGGGCTTTATACCAACACTGTGACTGAGACAAGTGCGCAGTGCGGGAAAGAGGCACGTACGGAAGTGGTAAATAATACAATAATGGGCGGGCCACGCGCGGACTCACCGCTCACCTCCTGCTGTGCGGCCTGGTTCCTAACAGGCCACGGACCAGTTCCTAACAGGCCACGGACCGGTTCCTAACAGGCCACGGACCGGTTCCTAACAGGCCACGGACCGGTACCGGTCCGCGACCTGGGGGTTTGGGACCCCTGCTCTAGAAAACCAAATAAAGTTATCCTGTGCTTATTGTACCTTCATGTTATAGGGAAACTCTTCTCTTCCATGTCTCTGTTAACTGCTACTCCTATTATCCACATATTGATTCTTTATATTATCCATGTTTATATGTGGATAAAAGGAAGTCAACCAAAACGGTGGGCCATATGCTTCCTATTATTCACAGGTTAGAGGAATCACGTAGATGTGGCAGCTGCTTGCGCCAAATTCATAGTGGAGAGGGGAGGATGGTGGTGCTGATAGCTCCGCTAATAATGACGATGGTGGTGACAGTGATGGTAATGATTATGTCGTTGCGTCTACTGCTGCTAAAGCTGGTGGTGCTACTGCCGATGATGAAGATGGATCGCCGACAGCTGCACAATGTACAACATACACAATGACGGATGCTGTTGCTTTTCTGCAGAGGAGTTGTGCGGCAAGTTCGTTACTATTTGCACTTATCTCCAGACCAGAAATCACCTGGAAGTGATATCCTAGCAGTAACAAATAAAAAAGTAATTTCCATGGAGAAATGCGAATAACAGGATCCATCACTTGCGACCCTCATATGTACTCAGACAAGAAGACTGCCATCAAAATCTACATTTCTATGGCAGAGGCCAGCCACTTCTCTTTACATCAATGGCAGATAAAACACGAACCAAGTCAGCCCTATCAAGGAGTTCAATGCACAGCCTTTTTGTTGCCAGTTGAGCACTCTACATACATTGCAACCCAGCCTCACCCAGACGAGGATGAATCTGGACAGGATGCTTTTCCAATTAAGGATACGAGCAACTCGAGCTCCAATTAATGTCACCGCTACACTTACCACGTGTCCTCCTCCACCACGTCCGTCCTTTGCAGGTCCAGCATGACCACATCGTCCAGAGTATCAGCAGCAGCAGAAGCTGCAGCAGCAGCCACTCCATCCTCATTTTGAGCACCACTCTGCGCCTGCGGTGAGCCACTCGGCACGACACCACCGTTACATCGCGCCTGGTTCCCCACTGTCTGTGCTTCCCCGGCACGGTGCGGCGCAGCGGTGTCAGTGTCGCTCCGCTTCTTGTCGGATTTGGCGCTGTGTCTCCCGGCGGCAGCGGCGTGCGCCTCCCCAGCGCTGTGCGGTGCCGCTGCTGCGCCGGATCCTCGGCGTCTCAGCTCGGCGTTTTGGGTCTCCAGGTGGCTGACCAGTTTGCGCAACCTCGCCATCTCTTGCGCGAACTCGGCTGAAATTTCCCCATTCTCGCCCATAGCCCTTTGAGAGCACGTTGGTGTGACCAATTGTTCACTCGCGACTTTACCTGGAATGGCAGAGCGATGGCACACGACCACACACGGTTAAGAATAATATCAAAAGGTTCTACAGCTAGCACATACAATAAAAACATCTATACATTATACCAGATTTTTGTGGACAAGTGAGGTCTGATTGATCGAGGTATTTCATTACTATTGTCGTGTAGGACATATTCGGCAAACAATTAACATTATTTGGAGGGACCTAATTGGGAAACAGCAGAATGTATTTTTTTACATGAACTGAAGAGACGAATGAGAGCAAAATGGAGACATGTTGAATATTTCTGTAACATTTATGTAAACAAGATGTATTGATGCTATCAATGTCACATGATCACATGAATTCAAATTAATTCAAATGGATTCAAATTGAAATGATTCCACGCGATGCCAATTTTGGCTGTAAAAGCTTGGACGTGACGTAATTTACTGTCACGTTATATTTTCCAGAATACACGTTTAACATTTTTTTAACTGAAATGTTATACAGTCGATCATCGATTATCCGGCGGCTTCGGATAGGAGGGGGCACCGGATTTTCAAATAATTCCAGATAAGCACTAATCATCATTACTTAAAATAGCTTATTTTTGCACATTCTTGCATGGCATTGTTTTTAGATGTTATGTCTTTTTCGTTTTACATTTGTTTACTTTGTGAAATTGTCATAAATAAACATAGAGATAGACAAAAATAAATATTCTCCTTCAAACAATGACTGTATTTACTGTACCATACTTACCACTCCAGCCTAGAGGACTCTGCATGGGGTGATGCATACAGTGCAATATTTTCATTGTTTAGGTTATAGTGTATAATGTACTGTATATAATAGTTGACACTGAAGTCAAGCAGAGCTATTATTTTTGTCACGCGCATGGTGCCGATCACTGGACTGGTGACATGCTGGATCGCCCCAGGACTGCCAGATCACATTGGAAGCCAGATAATAGATTATCGACTGACTCTATTTGGGCCAGATTTTTTTCTTTCAGATTTATTCCAAAACATCAGGAACACGTCAAATAAAACCACACCATAAAATCTGCTTATGACTGTGTGTATGACTATACTCTTTGGTTCTATTGGGTAAAGTCACGTAGGTAAAAAATAAAATAACAAAAATCACGTTTCGGCCACAACACAAGCGGCCTTCATCAGGTGAAGGGACGCTGTCCTCCAGACAGTCTCGTCCCTTCACCTGATGGTGAAGGGACGCTGTCCTCCAGACAGTCTCGTCCCTTCACCTGATGAAGGCCGCTTGTGTTGTGGCCGAAACGTCGTGATTTTTGTTATTTTATGTTTTACCTACATGCCTTTACCCAATAGAACCAAAGAGTATTGATCCTTGCAGTCACGAAAGCTTTAAATCTAGAATTGTGTGTATGACATTTGTTTATTCGTGAGTAGGTCTATGCAAGTCATATATTTAAACACGTTTGTATGGGTAGAGTTAGGTGTGCTACCCTGTGTCACTCCCGCGTGTTTCAATGTGAGAGAGGGCAAAGCGAGTGGAGGCGTTTAATAGTTAATTTACCCCCCCCCCCTTTTAAGTAAAATCACCGACGCGCTCGTGATTACTGTAATTCGAATGTACTTTTGCCACACCTGCCATAGCTACAGTACAGGTGTGGGAATGACTAAGCTGGTGTTTTAAGCCACACCTGTAACCAGGGAGCCCACGTTGCCATTAAACCCAGCTAATGTGACGACGACAACAACAAACACCATGTGTGTATCTTCTTGTTTAGGCGAGCGAAGGGTGGAAATCCCATATCCCTACAGCGATGAACAACAGCCACCTCTACAGACCGGCGGCGGCGGCGGCGATCACTGCTGACTTAGCACGAGGTGGGCACCGAAGTTATTCACCCGGAAGAGGTGACAGGTATTGTTGATCAACAAATAGTCTCGAATGCAGTTTTAAACCACAGGCAACATAAGCGCTCTCAAACTCAACGGGCCATACGGGGCCAGCGCTCATCTGCATCGACGGCCCAGCACAAGCGATGACAGAATTCCACATTCTCATGCCGGGAGGCAGTTGGTTTAGCAGGCCGCGCATTCCGATAACACCTAAACACACGGGGATCGATCACACAAACACACGGGGATCGATCACACAAACACACACATTAAAAACACACACACACACACACAGGGATCGTCACACAAACACACATTAAACACACACACAAACACACACAGGGATCGATCACACAAACACACATTAAACACACAAACACACGGGTATAGATCACACACACATTAAACACACACACACAGGTATAGATCACACAAACACACACATTAAACACACACACAAACACACACACAAACACACAGGTATAGATCACACAAACACATTAAACACACACAAACACACAGGTATAGATCACACAAACACACACATTAAACACACACAAACACACACATTAAACACACACATTAAACAAACACAAACAGGCATAGACCACACAAACACACATTAAACACACACAAACACACAGGTATAGATCACACACATTAAACACACACACAGGTATAGATCATACAAACACACACATTAAACACACACACAAACACACACAGGAATCGATCACACAAACACACAGGGATCGATCACACAAACACACACATTAAACACACACACAGGTATAGATCACACAAACACACACATTAAACACACACACACAAACACACACAGGTATAGATCACACAAACACATTAAACACACACACACACACAGGTATAGATCACACACACACATTAAACACACACACACAGGTATAGATCACACGAACACACACATTAAACACACACAAACACACACATTAAACACACACACACAGGAAAATATCACACAAACACACACATTAAACACACACACAGGTATAGATCACACAAACACACACATTAAACACACACACAAACACACAGGGATCGATCACACAAACACACATTAAACACACACACACACACAGGTATAGATCACACACACACATTAAACACACACACAAGTATAGATCACACAAACACACACATTAAACACACACAAACAGGTATAGATCACACAAACACACACATTAAACACACACAAACAGGTATAGATCACACAAACACACACAGGTATAGATAACACAAACACACACAGGGATCGATCACACAAACACACACAGGTATAGATCACACACACACACATTAAACACACACAAACACACAGGTATAGATCATACACACACATTAAACACACACAAACACACACAGGTATAGATCACACACACACATTAAACACACACGGGTATAGATCTCACAAACACACACATTAAACACACACAAACACACACATTAAACACACACAGGTATAGATCTCACAAACACACACATTAAACACACACAAACACACACATTAAACACACACACAGCCGCCATTCGCCACGTAGTGAATGTGACGTTACCACAAGTGGTTGCAGGTCGAGGGGACGCAAACAAACTCAAGGCCGTCACAGTTAACGTGGGATGACGGACAGAGAGATCGACCACCATCAACCACCTTGTTGTGCCCACTGCGATGCTCCCGCACCTGTGGCAATCAGCGCCGCGTCCACCTGGAGCAGCAGGTGAGTCGGAGTGGCACGGGCCGCAGAGGGCACGGCGGGTCGGGTTCACTCGCCAACACTCACCACCACTCACCACCACTAGCAAACACTCACCACCACTCACCACCACTCACCACCACTAGCAAACACTCACCACCACTCACCACCACTCGCAAACACTCACCACCACTCACCACCACTCGCAAACACTCGCCACCACTCACCACCACTCGCAAACACTCACCACCACTCGCAAACACTCGCAAACACTCACCACCACTCGCAAACACTCACCACCACTCACCACCACTCGCAAACACTCACCACCACTCGCAAACACTCACCACCACTCACCACCACTCGCAAACACTCACCACCACTCACCACCACTAGCAAACACTCACCACCACTCACCACCACTAGAAAACACTCACCACCACTCACCACCACTCGCAAACACTCACCACCACTCGCAAACACTCACCACCACTCACCACCACTAGCAAACACTCACCACCACTCGCAAACACTCACCACCACTCGCCACCACTCACCACCACTCGCAAACACTCACCACCACTCACCACCACTCGCAAACACTCACCACCACTCGCAAACACTCAACCACTCGCTCATTACTGCGTCGCTCACCGCTCGCCCACCGCTCACTCACCACTCCTCACCCACTCACCACTCGCCACCACTCACCGACTCCCCACCACTCGCCGCCACTCGCCACCACTCACCGACTCCCCACTCACCGCTCACTCACCCACTCGCCACCACTCACCGCCACTCGCCACCACTCACCGCCACTCGCCACCACTCACCGCCACTCACCACCACTCGCCACCACTCACCACCACTCGCAAACACTCGCCACCACTCACCACCACTCGCAAACACTCGCCACCACTCACCACCACTCACCACTCGCCACTCACCGACTCCCCACTCACCGCTCACCTGCGCACGGCGATCGAAGCCGCTCCCCCGCCCCCCCCCCCAGTGTTTGGCTGCTGACGTCACCGCCGCGCGCCTGGAGACTGCGCGTGGTACGCGGTAGAGGCGACCTGCACCGCTGGGTCGAGCCCAACAACAATCAACAACATCAACAACAATCAACAACAACAACCACCACGTCAACAACTTGGTCCAGCCAATGAGCAACTCGGCGTGGTGGCCCTTCACGTGAGATCGCAGTGCTCTCGATATCACAACGCGACGTTTCGAGCATTGTGGACCTTCAGAGCACGTACAACAATGTGTTGTATTATGGAGTGGGACATTGGCCCTAAACATGAATGTGTGTGTGTGCGTGTGCTGCAAAGAAGGCCCGTTGCCCTAAACGTCGCCCGTGATATCGTTGTCCTTTTGGCCACCGTATTGTTATTGACGAATGTAACGAGGGTTTTGTTATCTGCGCACTGCCAATAATACTCCGGGACTCCGACCAAGCACGACAGGGGTGCGCCGCGTGAGAATGCACCGAGTATTTAGCGGACGCGTGCGAGTTTACAGATCCACTGCTGGATGAAGACTTCTTCGTCCTCACGACCGCGACTCTTGCCGTACATGGAGGATCGCTCGTGGAACGCCGTCACAGCGCTTCGCCGCTGACGAGAGGCAACGTCTGGTGATGTGTGGGGAGGGCCCACGGGAACCACCTTCGCCGGGCTCTGCCACGGCGCGTCGGTCACGATGACGTTTTTTGACCGTACATTTTTGTTTAGTGTTTAGTGTTTTTTTTTGCCGTGGCGTATCGTGGTAAAAGTCATATACTGTACTGTTACCTGTGAAAAGAAGACTTGGGCTGGTGGACGGGAACTGCTTTAGTCCATTGTCACCGCTTAGGGGCCGTCCATAAATGACGTCACGCACCTGGTGGGGGGGAGGGGTTCAGACATTTGTGACGAGGGGGGGGGGGGGTTTGGGAAATGTGACGTCACATCAAAATGCGCAACTTTAAATAAATATAGACTACACGTTCTACTTAATTAAATAGACTTTTTGATAAATGTGTTCTCCTACAACATCAGAGTGCAGCGCCACATTGAATTCGCACTACAATGACAATAGTTTAAAGCGATTTGAAGCATGTTTTATTTTTTTGTTGGGGGGGGGGGGTGCAGAGCTTTGTGACGTCATATTTGAGGGGGGGTCTGACTTTTTGTGACGCCGTGTGACGAGGGGGGGGGTCAAAAATCGTGTGACGTCATTTATGGACGGCCCCTTATACACCACAGCAACACTCAAACCAACCACATCGCACGTTTTCCAGTCCCTTATAAACCCCTACTTGACCTTTCTTTCCCGATCCGCTCTCCGCACCAATCCGATCAGAGTGTCAACCACTCACCCATGGATTGGGTGTCGTGCACGTAAGTGCTCACTCCCCCGCTCGAGCGTGACGTGTGTGTGTGCGTGACGTGTGTGTGCGTGACGTGTGTGTGCGTGACGTGTGTGTGCGTGACGTGTGTGTGCGTGCGTGACGTGTGTGTGTGCGTGACGTGTGTGTGCGTGACGTGTGTGTGCGTGACGTGTGTGTGTGCGTGACGTGTGTGTGTGAGCGTGACGTGTGTGTGTGCGTGACGTGTGTGTGTGCGTGACGTGTGTGTGCGTGACGTGTGTGTGTGCGTGACGTGTGTGTATGTGTGTGCGTGACGTGTGTGTGTGTGCGTGACGTGTGTGTGTGCGTGACGTGTGTGTGACGTGTGTGTGTGCGTGACGTGTGTGTGCGTGACGTGTGTGTGCGTGACGTGTGTGTGTGCGTGACGTGTGTGCGTGACGTGTGTGTGCGTGACGTGTGTGTGCGTGACGTGTGTGTGTGACGTGTGTGTGTGCGTGAAGTGTGTGTGCGTGACGTGTGTGTGTGCGTGACGTGTGTGTGTGCGTGACGTGAGTGACCCCTCACATCCGAACCTTCCCTGGTGGTGCATCCCCCGTGTGTACGTGATTGGTGTGTGTGGTGTCGAGTGCGGAATGTATGCGTGTTGTTTGTGCGGCGCGAGTGTGTGAGGATGAGTGGGACATCCTTTACATGTTACGCAATCAATCGCAAAAAAACAAACAAAAAACAATAATAATTAGTCTAAACAATTGACGAATTAGACGAGTGTATGACCTAACCATTGAACCAAGGGGACGCGCATAAATAGAGAGAAGTCAGAAGGAAAAGGGAAACATACACATTGTCCCCTTTCAGCAGTGGGCCACCTCCGTCACCGACATCCTCCGGTATCTGTAACCGCAACCGAACACAAGAGCTTCCCGGGGATGTCTTTATTGCTGCTGCTGCTGCGACGAGGCAACGTGAGCGGGTGCACGGTCCACCTCCCATGGAAGGGTCTCTGCTCGGGCTAGCGAGCTGCTCACCAGTACCCCGGCAGGGGAAGCCGGCGTCGGTTTGTAGTTGGGCGAGCAGCCACCCACGAGCGCAACAACCTCTCACCACCTGACCAAAGTGACGAGGATGAATGAGAGGGGCGGCTCATCCGCAACGTAGCGTTTCAACCTAGAGGAGTGAACGTATCACCGACGTTTCCCCAACTGAATGCGGACATACTGGGGTCGAAGTACCGGCACTACAGTGACCGGGCCTTGCCACGATCGATGCAGTTTCACCGAAGTGAATATTGGCACCTGTGGGCAGTGCAACCAAGCCAGGTCACCCACCGCAAAGGGGGCTACGGTCACTGTTTTGACCTGCAAGCATTCGTTCCCCTCCTGCATTGACGCGGATGCTGCTAAAGCCGCCTCGCGAGCCTCTAGCGAGTGGCGAAATGAAGCCGGCCAATCACTTGCCCACGGCGGAACGGGGTGCAGCTGAGCTTCAATCGGATGTTTCGGGTCCAGCCCATACATTAAAAAGAAGGGCGAGTATCCCGTGGATGCATGCGTCGCCAAACGATAGGCTGTCAGAACCCCGGGGATGTGCAAATTCCACTCCGTCTGCTGGGCGTTCACCAAGTGACACAACATTTCCGAGATCGTGCAGTTAAAGTGTTCAACCATACCATCTGTTTGTACAGGGAAGTCCGCACCTTCTAGACCCCTAAATTGTTGCACACCTGTAAAAGCTTGAAGGAGAAGTTGCGCCCCTGATCTGTTAACAGGCATTCTAGAGCCCCCTTATCAGCCACATACCTGTTAACAAAGGTGTCCGATTATAACCAATGGCAATGCAATGGGCCAGTGGGTAAAGTATTCAATACCAACTAGCAGGTATTTATTACCCCGAGGAGTGGCTAGAAAGGGGCCCAATATATCAAGGGCAACGAACTCGTTGACCCTAGAAACTTTGATCGACTGCAGGGGGGCATGTAGCCTGGCAGCCAGAGGCTTCCTGCGCGCACAGTCCAAACAGCCCGACACCCAATGATGGACATCGGCGGACGTGCCCGGCCTAAAGTAGCAGAGGCGTAGCGCTGCCTCCGTCTTATAGCTGTCCAAATGGAGCAACTTTCGGATGTGAACGTCTGCACTGACTCCTCAGGGAAGAGGGCACCACCAAAACCCTGCGGCCCACGGTCGCGTCCCAACGCATCAACATGCCCTTCCACATAATGAAAAACTTCCCTGAAGTGGGAAGCTCGGCATCGCTCACCTCCTCTGCCAGCTCCCGGAAAGCTGCTTAGGCAGCGTCCGCCTGCTACAGGTCCCTCCATTCACCCAAGGTCAGCTCTATGGCGCAGTCAACTGATGACTCTGCCTGGTCCTAGTCCCCGACGGGAACCAGGGCTACGATCTCGGGTGCCGACACGGCTGCGGGCTTACAGCACCGGGACCCATCACCACAGACGTATGTAACAGGAGTCGAGAACCGGGACAACACATCTACATTAGTGTGTCTCAGCTGTTTGCGGTGCATCACTGGGTATGAATATTTCTGCAGTCGTTCAAGCCACCAAGCCATCTGACCCGCTGGCTGCTCAATGCGAAGCAAATACTGTAACGCCACATGATCCGTCAAAACAGTTCAATTGCAGCTGTACAGATAGGGGTGAAACTGTTGTACAAAGTGGACAACGGCGTGCAGCTCCCGGCGGGTAACGCAATGTCGCTGTTCAGCCGGTTAAAATACGCAACTCCCATAGGCTATCACGACCTCCCTACCCTCCTGAACCT